TATTCTATTAAAGATGTATATTTATGTATAGAGGGTGTTAAACTCTTTCTCCCATCCATCTCTCTGGCTCTCTCCCTCTCTCTTTCTCATTCTATCTCTATCGTGTTTTAAACTAACATCTTTTAATGAACAGTTGTGTTTCATATTTTTATTCATGTAAATTAAACAAGATACATATCTATTACTTGATTGTTTATTTTCTTATATCTTTCTTATTCATTCACTAACTCATTACTACTGATTCAGCTAACCCCTTTTTCATTTCATCATATTGTTTTGTTAATGCGTGTTTATTTCCGTTTTTATACCAAATAAACAAAACAGATGATCGACTGTGTACACAGTTTGTAATGATGATAGATATTGCAGTTGTAGTCGTGATAGTAGTAGTAGTAGTAGTAGTGTATTTTGATCAGTTAATATTGACAAAGTAAATAGCTTAAACTAGATTTAAGTCATTAATGATTCTTGTTAAAAACAAGTAATTTATCTATTCGAAAATGAAATTCGGGTAGATGATTAAATTTAGCCTACTTACTTACTTACTTACTTACTTACTTACTTACTTACTTACTTACTTACTTACTTACTTACTTACTTACTTACTTACTTACTTACTTACTTACTTACTTACTTACTTACTTACTTACTTACTTACTTACTTACTTACTTACTTACTTACTTACTTACTTACTTACTTACTTACTTACTTACTTACTTACTTACTTACTTACTTACTTACTTACTTACTTACTTACTTACTTACTTACTTACTTACTTACTTACTTACTTACTTACTTACTTACTTACTTACTTACTTACTTACTTACTTACTTACTTACTTACTTACTTACTTACTTACTTACTTACTTACTTACTTACTTACTTACTTACTTACTTACTTACTTACTTACTTACTTACTTACTTACTTACTTACTTACTTACTTACTTACTTACTTACTTACTTACTTACTTACTTACTTACTTACTTACTTACTTACTTACTTACTTACTTACTTACTTACTTACTTACTTACTTACTTACTTACTTACTTACTTACTTACTTACTTACTTACTTACTTACTTACTTACTTACTTACTTACTTACTTACTTACTTACTTACTTACTTACTTACTTACTTACTTACTTACTTACTTACTTACTTACTTACTTACTTACTTACTTACTTACTTACTTACTTACTTCAACACTTACTTACTTACTTACTTACTTACTTACTTACTTACTTACTTACTTACTTACTTCCGGAGGACTTTGCATGATTGGAATATTTTTTAGTTTATTCATCGCGTCTTAATTTTTTTTTAATGGATTTATAGTGGACTCGTATCATAACCTTTTAGATTACATAGTTACTACTTATATCTGTCGATATAAGTAGTAGGTTATATTGATCAAAAGTATCAAAAGAAGGTTAAGAAGATTGAACTGAAGCAAATAGGAAGAAATTAAGAATTAGAAGAATCATAAAGGAATGTAAAGGACAATTGATGAAAGATTTGTAAATGAAGTATTGAATGTTTGGTTGTTACATTTTGATGAAAGAACTTTGTAATTTTGGTTCTTATTCACTTCAAGTAGGCTCTTTAAAGTTCCATTGAACTAACTTTTTCTCGATTTCCTAGGCTATACAGATTTCGTGAATTATCAATCAGTAGACAATTCTAATCCGATTAACTGTATAATCCATCTACAATGGCTTTAAGTTAAGTTAAATGAAGATAATTTCTATGTCTAATACAATAATAGTGTAACGGAAAGAGAACAATGAAAATCTCTCTGCAGCTTCTTTGTTGGACAGTACTATCATTTATTTGTTTGTTCTCCCTGTTGTGTATGTTAACCTTTGTTCAGATCTCGTTTAACAACACCTTTTGTTCTTCAGTCTTCCCCGTTTGAGCCTTTATTATGTGATTTTGATTAAAGACTTATTTTTTATTACCTAATTTTCTATTGCATGTTGCCGGACCATTGACAGTAAGGTCGTGTTTAACTAAGCTCAAGGTCACGGCATGGTTCAGTTTGTGACTGTTAACTTTTTGACTGTCTGCTTGGGAGAATCGCTGCAATCCCTGCAGATAGATATTTGATCCCATCTTATTGGGAATATTTGTATTGATTCTCAGGTATCAAACCCTTTAGTATTAACTGTTTCTTTCATTGTTTAGCGCGCTACTTTGCGTTAGAGAAACTTCTGACTGTATAGTACATGCTGTACCGTTTGAGGTATTTTGTATTTTTGATGTAATTTGTTCTGTTTTCCTAATTAAAACCGTTTATATTGAGCATAGAGTTTGTGTTTTGATATAATATAATACGAGTATCTCAAAAAACGCGTTGTGAGCTATACAGATGAAAGTGGTCTGGTCTAATCAAATAAATTTTGGGTTCGTCAGTCCGTTGTTCCATCTAAATATTGGTTGATCGGTCGTTACAAATAGTGATATTTATTTATTTGACCACATAAGTATTGGTACAACAGGGCACCAGATATTTATGCGCCACACAAAACAATGAGAATTTAAAGAGAAGGAAAAAGAAAAGGTAAGGAGCGTTAAAAAAAAGAAAGAGAACAATAACGAAGAGATTGCCGTAAGGTAGCGTAATAATAATAATAATGGGGGAGACAAAATGGTACAATCAGAAGAAATCCTTCAGTTAAGGAAGATACAATCACTTTTTATGAAGAAAGTAAAACAAGGTTACAGCAGGATCACTAGTGGCTTCTATTCTCAGCCATATCTGATAACGTCTCAAGCCATTGTGTTGCACCATCTCTCAGATCCAAGCCAGAGAGTCGTGAAGGACCAACAAAAGCCAGCCCTTTGCAGCTTTCTTTCATGCCACGACACCATGTCATACACTGACCAAGTCTCCGCTTCTTCCAACCAGTCCCAGAGTCGGCAAATAATGCAAGACATGGAATTCTCTGAGACGAAATTCGTAGAACATGTCCAAGCCACCGAAGTCGGTGTTTAAAGATGGTGACATCAATTGCTACCGAAAACACGACGCCAAACCTCTGCATTACTGACATGGTGTTGCCATTGGAAGTCAGCAATCCTTTGTAGACACCAACGATCAAACACAGAGAATCGTCTAACATCTTCAACTCAGAGAATCCAGATTAGTGATAATGTAATAAACGAGAATAAGGTTGGGGATAAACAATGAAGTTTTAACTCAAAATTGCATTCAATATTTCATTTTCAAATGTTCCATCATTTATCTCAAACTTTACCTATCGTTCCTCACCATAACAATTAAACTCTGTTCCTATTCTTTCTTCATTTTGATTTTCTCAATCTTTTACTATCAAGTATTCCTTTTTCTATTTAGTATTAGATATACTACTTATGTTAACAGATATAAGTAGTATACTCCACAATAATAAATATATTGAAATTCTGAAGAAAATTAGTTCATAACTGTGTAAATTAAGTGCAATTCAACATAACTATATTCCTACCTACTTACCTTCCTACATACCTACATCATCATCATCATCATCATCATCATCATCATCATCATCATCCAAATCATCATCATCCAAATCATCATCATCATCCAAATCATCATCATCCAAATCATCAACATCATCATCATTATATGATTTAACTAAACTAATCCATTTACATTAAGGTTCAATGATGTTGATTACCATTAGTGTAATCATGACAAAGTTCATATTTAAAGTAAACAATAATCGAGAAAGAATTTCTTAATGTATTTTTTATAATAATAAATATAAAATTTATTTATTTATCATTATAAGATAGAGGAGAGAAATCAGGAAAGTTTATTTCATTCCATTCTTTTCATTTACCTACTGTTTACTTCTAACTTCCGATTGTATTTAATTTGCTGTTGTTATGGTTGTTCATTTGTATCTTCCATATTTGTAGTCATCATCATCATCATCATCCGATTCAACCGATTCAACACATAAATATTGGTACAAGGGGCACCAAATATATGTGCGCCACACCATATTTGTGTGTGTGTGTGTGTGTGTGTGTGTGGGCTGTGATACTGTCCGGGTGCGCAGACCGAAGCAGGTGGTTTTCTTAGAGGGCCACACCCCAAGCCTTTGACCTAAAGGTCTAACCCACAAGGCAATGGAACATCGTGAGGAGATGCATTCCCATGGTAGCCGGTGACCAACAATAGGTTCATACGCCATTTGTTCCCACAGGATACTGGATCCCATATGCACCATTGGTTTGGGATCCGGTTAAAGCACCGGAAATTCACTTTTCGTCCTCTCATTTCCATAAACAACACCCTCGCCACAAGAAGGTATTGAGTAGGAGTTCCCTGGCAGAGGCTGTATACGTGTGGCCATGTGGGAGCATCTCGAAAGGGATGGCGGGCCCACCCCACTCTCGGCCATATCAGGGCATTTGGGGGCATCATCATCATCATCATCATCATCATCATCTTCTTCTTCTTCTTCTTCTTCTTCATCGTCCACATCATCATTATCCTTATATTCTTATATTGTTTAATCACTTTATAACTGTACTATACCTATTCAATCAATTTATTTATCATTAATCATTTTAATATGAATATAAGTACAAATAATAAAGAATAATGAGACATAGTTGGAAAATGAATTGATTCACGTTTTTTCTCTTTTCTTTTTTCTCTTTTCTTTTTTTCTTTTTTGTTTTACTTTACTTTAACTTTTTCTATTCTTTCTTTCATATAGTTCAATGATTATTTCTCAATTCAATTATTTACTTTCTTCCTTATCTCTTTTTCTCTCTTTTTCCTCTTTCTCTTTCTTTCTTTCTTTCTTTCTTTCTTTCTCTTTCCTTTTCTCTTTATTTTATTTATTACTAATTCTGTTCTAAATTATGTTTCATATGACATTGGTTTGTATCAATTAAGTTACGTTCACGTGTAAATAGTAAATCAAATTACATGAATGATTAATAGTTCATTATGATGATGATGATGATTACTTGAAGAAGAAGAAGAAGAAGAAGAAGAAGAAGAAGATGAAGAAGAAGAAGAAGAAGATGATGATGATGATGATGATGATGATGATGATGATGATGATGATGATGATGATGATGATGATGATGATGATGATGATGATGATGATGATGATGATGATGATGATGATGATGATGATGATGATGATGATGATGATGATGATGATGATGATGATGATGATGATGATGATGATGATGATGATGATGATGATGATGATGATGATGATGATGATGATGATGATGATGATGATGATGAAGAAGAATAGCCATAAGAGATTGACAATAACGATAATGATAATCATAATAATAGTAATACTAATTACAACCTTGAAAACAAACAGTTAGTCAAATGGATAATTTCTTTTTCACAGTATTTTCCCCAATTGGTTAGAAAAGCAAGATTCTTCGATAGAACACAGAATACGCTAATCGAATCAAGTGATTATATATCCTGGCAGAATCGTTGATGAGCACGGTGAATCCGATGTAGATATGAAGGTATGGATTGGCAAAGCGAGAACAGCATACATACAACTGAATAACATATGAGAGTAAAAACAAATGTCTGTCGATCAATAACAAAGTCAGATTTTTCAATATACGTATCGAGAAAGTTCTACTGTATGAGGCGGGAACTTGAAGAACTGCGAAAGTCATTATCCAGAAGATACAAGTGTTTATTAACAGTTGTCTATGCAAAATACTTTGGATCCGCTTGCTATCAGCAACTATCAGCAACAACCTATTGTGGGGGAGAAGAAATCACATTCCAGTGGAGTAGTAAATCAGGAAGAAGCACTGGAAGTGGATAGGACACACATTGAGGAGAGCACTCAACGGTGTCACAAGTCAAACCCTCACATGGAATCCTCAAGACTAAAGGA